TTGCATAACAATGTTTTGAATGGTAAAAAATCGCTTTGCGATGATTGGTAAGCTGTTTCGCTTACCAATTTTTGCATAGCAATTTTTTTCCAACAGCTAATCGGTGGTTCCAGAATGGCCGCCAGAAAAAAATGGCCACCCGCTCTTTTTTGGGACGGATTCCTCGCTTACCGGGCAGCGAAAATGGCTGCCGTATGGAGGATTTTCACTTAAAGGTAAGTTTTCCCCCCATTGGAACGCATTGAAGGGGTTTCAGTGTGTTTCAATGAAGTTTTTAAAATCGCATAGCGATGTTTTCGGTTAGTGGTGATTTTTGCCGTACCGATTAACATTGCTATGCGAGGCACCACTGTAGATAAATACCCTGTTTTCCCCAAAATAAGAAAATAACCCTAATTTTTCCTCCAAAAATGCATTAGGGCTTATTTTCAGGGGATGTCTAGTTTTTTTCATGTACAGCAATCTGCATTTATTCAGTTACAGTCATGTCATCTTCTGGTTGCTGCATAATAGTAGAGGGCGGGGTTTCACAACTGGGACTTATTTTTGGGGTAGGGCTTATATTACGAGCATCGTGAAAAATCATACTAGGGTTTATTTTCAGGTTAGATATTATTTTCGGGGAGACAGGGTAGGCATCACCACGGTGGGAAGGTAACGGCGTTCCGTGTCTAGTCACACTGGCCACGTGACCATGGAAACTGTCTATGGACAAATGCTGCCTCTACGTCTTGGAAATGGGGATGAGCATTGTGCCCTAGAGTCGGATACAGCTGGACTAAATGTCAAGGGGAACCTTTACCATTACCTGTGGGGGGGGCATGTGGATGAGTTTCATTTTATGTAATTTTTGAGACATGAATTGCTGTTTGGAAAACAGTTGAAAAAAAAATACTGATCCCACAAAGATTTTAATTTTCTTTGCAAGACAGTATATCAGGTGAAGTTGGATATGTCACTGGGTTCATGTGATTTGTATTACAAGAGGAATGTTTCATTTTGCAGAATTGGAGAGGGGTGTGTGTTCAGAATTGTAGGATGTGCCAGTTTGGTTATTCACGCTTCTCCACTAGAGGCAAGGAGCATAAGAATTGGACACCATCCATGCTTGTCTTCTGCTGGTGCAATTTGTCTGAAAATAAACATGCTGAATGAGGCTCTCAAAAGTATGGGTGCTTCATGGAGATGGCTTGCATGCTGTCTCAGTAGCTCATTGAATCCACATATTTTTGTTTCTCATTAGATACATCTAAAATGGCTAAATATTTCTTCAGCTGCACTGTCTCCTAACTTTGAGTTTTCCTTGCGTAAAATATTTGGCCTAGATATTCCTTAGTCTCAAAAGAATCAAGTCCCTGAAATGAAGTGAGAATTGTGTCTCCTGAAAGGATTCTTTAAAAAGAAAATAAATTTGGAAAAATAGTTTCTAGTTAAGCTCTAGTAGGACACGTAATATTAACTTCAAATTTGTTTTTTATTCTCTCATCTTTTTGCAGAATGATGGCAATTAGTGGTTGTATTAATATAGCACTGCCTGAAAGTTTTCTGTAGTGAAGGACTACCACAAAGCAGCGTTCAAAAAAGTACATTTTGCTTTGGCACTGGCCAAATTCTTTGGTGTAGATATGCAGGTGGTATAATTTTTGGAGGAAATGGAGTCCAAGTTAAGAAATACTCATAGAGATCAGCTGCATGTGGAGTCATATCACTCAACATGCAACTGATCATTTCTACAGTAATTTCTTGGAGCAATTATAACAGTTAAGTCACTTGTGCTACACTAGAATAAAACTAGGTGAGAGGATTTGGGACGCTGTGTTCATGCGTTGTGTATTCTGTGATGTTGCACGAATGTAAATGTTCTTAAATACAGCTTCTTTTGTGTCTGACACAACTGCTTTCTTTTCTGGAGGACAGCAATTTTGGTTACCATTCAACTCTTGGTGATGTCATGCAGTGAGGTTGTAGTTGAAATCAGGTTAGAAAGTACTGTTCTCACAAAAATAACGGAATCAGTTACACTGGCTTTGTTTTGATTGTCTGGATACAGGAGGGGATCCCTAGATTTTTTTGGACCCATTGAAATATTTGAAAATTTCAGTGTCCAGCTTCATATTTAATTGCTGGCTCAAAATTCATAATTTTGAAGTGAAATTAAAAAATGAGACCAATTTTCAAAGAACTGGCCACAGCAGTCTGTTTCAGTCTATATAATAAAAATAAAAGCAACAAAAAGAGGCACTTTGAAAACTGACAACTTTATTTCAGTGCAGGTTTCTAATCCGCAAAAGCTCATGCTGGAATAAATGCAGGTCAGTTCCCCAAGTCATTTTAAAACAATTCCCTCTCAAATAAATTGAATTTAAGAATTAATAGTGAGATGGCCTAAAATCAATAAAAGTTATTCAAATTAATTCCAGCCCAAATCTCCATCTACTCATTTGCTATCTGGCAGTCATAACTCTCCCGGATCATCTGCTGTCTATACGTATGTATGCTGTCCATTATGCATTGACACAAATGCCTCTCCTGCTTTCTGATTGCTCCATTGCATGTTACAGTATAAGTCTGCCTGTGTCCTTGTTAGGTTCACAGGCTTTTCTCCAGTTGCATGCCAGTTTCCTGAAGGAAGGGTTTCTGTGTTTTTTCTGGAGCAGCTTGGTATGCTCTACTCGTATCACTCGATCTAGCCAGGCTGGGTGGCTGAGGGGCTTGACCCCGAGAGAGGCCCGGAAGAGGAGAATTAAAAATTGGTCCTTCTTGGCAGTTGCCCCTCACCTCTGGAACATCTTGCTCCCTGAGATTCGCCTGGCACTCTCGCTGGGACTTTTTAAGAAGAAGCTGAAGACTTGGGTCTTCAGGCAGGCCTTGCCCCCTTCTATCACTTAGTTCCCTGTGTTTTCTCATCTTGAACTTTGCTTGCTTTTCTTTTTTGTTTGGATGTTGTCTGTTTTAATTCTTGTTTTATATTGCTTGGACTGTAAGCCACCCAGAGTAGATTTGTTTGAATTTAGATGGGCGGGGCAAAAGCTTGCATAAAATAAATAAATAAATAAATAAATATGCTGTGACACAAATCTGGGCCTAGCCTCAGTCGTCCCCCCCCATGTTTGCCAAAATGCCTTGGAGGCCATGTGGAATCCCTTGCAGCCCTAGAAGCACTCTGAGAAAATTCTGGGGCTGCTAGAGCTTGGCCAGTGTTGTGACTTTGGTCTAGATGGGCAGGGTAGAAATCTAATAAAATAAAATAAATTGTGCCCAGTGTCTTTAATGGGGATGGCATTATGGAACATGAGTGGGACTGAACTGCTGTTGTTGTTGTTCAGTTGTTTAGTCGTGTCCGACTCTTCGTGACCCCATGGACCAGAGCACGCCAGGCCCTCCTATCTTCCACCGCCTCCCGGAGTTTTGTCAAATTCATGTTGGTTGCTTCGATGACACTGTCCAACCATCTCATCCTCGAACTGCTGTACCTGCCCCATATTGGGAAAAGCTAGGTTGCTGATTTTAAAGATCTAACTGGCCTAGAATCAGCCAAATCTTCCTAGTTTGTCACCCTGGCTAGGACTTGCTACTTATCAACATACTGTAATTGTCCCATTCCTGTGTTAAAAGAACATTATCTCTATCTTCACCTGGACTTAAGTCTCATCACCATGTAATAAATACAGTATAGGAGACATGTATTTATATTCTCTATGCCCGAAGAAGGAGATTTTGATGCACAAAGGCTCACACTGAAATGAATCTAAAATGACACAATATTTTGCTCCCTCCCCTTTCTTCCCATCATACTGAGATTAACACAGGTACTAGCTTGGAAATTGGAATCAGAGTATTTGCTTTAATAAGTATCATTATGTATATGAACCTTTTCGATGATTAAAGTTTTAAGAATCCTTTCACAAAGTTCTGCATCCCCGTAAAATTGACTTACAGGTTCATACAGGATGCCATTCTTCCTGGCAGGTTCTTGGCAGAGTTCATGACAGGGTTGGAAATCTCTGACCGCCCTGCACACACACACCCCTTCGAAAGTAATACACTGCTGCTTCCATTATGCTTAACCATTGTCCAGTGGAAATTAATCTGGTGTCATCTAGAGCAGTGGTCCCCAACCTTGGGCCTCCAGATGTTCTTGGACTACATCTCTGTTAGCCAGGATTTCTGGGAGTTGAAGTCCAAGAACATCTGGAGGCCCAAGGTTGGGGACCACTGATCTAGAGAACCACAGATCCCCAGTCTTGTTTGGAACATTGATAAAAGCCTCTTCTGTTTGGTCTTAGTGGATTATTGCACAGAAATATGATCACTTTCAGTTTGCATCACATATAAGTCCCAGTATAAGTGTCTTATTATATATTATAATCTATAATATAAATGTCTTGCATTTTTTAACATAAGTTTAAAAAACTATTTTAAGAATGATGTCAATGATTTCTATAAAATAATTATGGACTCTATAAGAATTGTGTCCTTTTGGTTGGACCTGCACTCACTACTTAATCAGTTTCATTTTAGCATGTTGTGCATGACTAGAAATTCATGTTTAATTTTTTTAAATGTTACTTTTTCATTCCCTGCTTTATCTCCTGAAGTAACCCTGTTCCCCAAACAGCTTTGGTATTTCAGACTTTTCCATTCTTATCTCATTCTGACACTCAATACTGTACAAACCTTCTTGGTCTCTCCCAAGTTGCCTTCCATAGGAACCATTTCTACAGCATATTGTCTGAAGAGGAATGTGTGACCACCTGATGTTGGGAATGGGGATCTTATTTGAGCTTGAATACACAGTTAATGTTGGGCTTCAGAATTGTCCTACATTATCAGAAAGTATATGTAAGAGATGGAAAGAGTGTTCTCTCTTTCTTGTTCATAAATGACTATCATGACTTGTCCTATAGAAATCTCTAGTTCACAGAATGCCTGAAGAAATTGTTCCTCCCCCACTGAATGTTGTTGTCTGAAATATCAATTAGTATTTCTTTATGTTACAGATTTAATACAGTGCACAAATGAGATGAACGTAAATATCCCACAGTTGGCGGATAGCTTGTTTGAAAGGACAACGAACAGTAGCTGGGTAGTGGTATTCAAGTCACTCATCACAACTCATCATCTAATGGTGTACGGAAATGAGGTAACTGATTACTGGACTGGTTATTGATCATTAATATTTTAGAGAATTAGCTTTCCTGTTGTCATTTGTTGTTCTTCATCAGGGACAATGGGTGGTATTTAACAACAAGTTGAGGATGCAAAGGTTGAAGAGAAAACCTAACTAATACTTGTTCTGTTACAAAACACAGGGCATACCTGTCTATAAGAGTTAAGACCATTTACATGCCACAAATTTAAGGGGTAAGTGGGCAACTTTAACCACCCATGGGGTGCTGAATAAACCCTAGCCAGTTTCACAAATTCAGGATCCAGCAGACTAACAATGCCTGGGGACCTAGTTGCCCACCCCAGGTTAGCATTTAAAGAGCTAGGGCTCTGTGTTAAAATTGTCTTGAGCAATTTTTGGCAGTTACAGAACTAAAGTATGGAGAAATTAGAAAGAGGTCACTGGAAGAATAACTGAAATAAGAAATCTGTTAGAAATCATTACAATAATATTAAGGTTTATGGGGACAAAGATATGTCATATATAATAAAGCATAGCAACAGTACAGTAATTTGTATGGTGATTAAATTCATCCAGGAATAGTTTTATTGCTGGCCCCCATTGTTGTCTACTGCCGTAGAATACGACTGTCAGTTCCCTGCCAGCACAGTTGTTAGCAAAGTATGTTTTCTCTGAATCTAATGAAAACAAACCACTTGGCAGCTGCCTTAAAAAAAGAAAGAAACCTTCAGTTAAAGTTTGTGAACAGGAGCTACAGAACCTTGCCTGCATGACCAGTGACTTCTGCGTTATCCACTATCGCTTCCTTTTATTTTGGTTGCTCCTCACCTGACTTCAGAGGCTTCTTCCAACATGACTTTAAGTTAGATATCTGAAAGCAGAAAACTGCCTCATACCAGATCAGATAACTGAAGCTTCTAACTTTTGTTACTTAATTTCTCTGGCAGCACCTTTTCTTCAGAATCTCAAAATAGACAGTTCCCAGCCCTTTTATCAGAGATCCTTCCTAAAATTGGATATGTCAGGAACGGAAGCTGGTTATGCACATGTAGGCACTTACACCCTTCAGATACAAGCTTTCAGTTATGGGGAGCTGATCATCAGGCTGAGGACTAGAGCACGACAACTCAGGGGCAGGACAGCTCCTTTAGTATGCAGTGGACTTTGGGAAGAATTTTATTCATTATTTAAAACTCTGAAGAAATTGTTATTTAACATTTAGTGGATGCAGTCCTATTGATATTCATGTGAAGTTTTGTGTAACTTGTCACTCCTAATTGACAGTTCTGGGATCAATCTTAGTTGTACAGTTGGACATGTATTCAGGCACATGACTGAGAGAGAAGCATATCTTGTCAGGTAGCTGCAGTTAGCAGTCAGAACGAGGCATGTACATAGAGAAAATGTGCATATTTCATTTGTTTAGGGTTTTCTGGGTGCTGCTTAGTTTTTGTGTTACTTGGGTACTGGCCCTCTCAGTAAACTCCAAAGCATCCAACCTCTTCTGCTTCTTTCCATTAGGATTTCCCATGTTTGGGGTTCTGATATTAGACTAAAAAAGCCTGGCAGTGGTAGACAAAACAGAGGAAAGGGAAAGAGCAGGGGTTTGTGCTGCAGCAAAGCAAAGAAGGAGGGAAAAGACTGGGCTTGTAGGGCCAAGAGATGTGCAATAGTGAGGGAGGGGAAGGAGGGAGGGCTGACAGAAGGCTGGTGGTGTTGAGGCAGAAGGGAAGGGGGCAACGACTAGGACTGGCTAAACCAAGAGGTGTGTGGTAGCAACGGCAGTAAGGCAAGGCCAGGAGAGAGAAGGGAAAGACAGGGGCAGGCTAATTTGAGGAGTATTGATGGGAGATGATTTTACATAAATGGGTCAAATGGAGAAAATCCAATGAAAATCCATTATTTTTGGGATCCTCACTTTCAGGAAACCGAAAGTATTGGGTTTCAGAGGTTCTCTGTTGGACCGAGGCTAAAAGAAAGAGCCTCTTTCTTGGGTTTTTTCCCCTCCCATTTGGGTTCACCTTGAAGTCCCAGCCCTAGTAGCAAATTGTACACTCCTCGCACAAACACCAGTAGGATTTTGGCCTGTAAGTCTCAATGTAATTCTTACTCTATTTTGCCCCTTGCCCCCCAGTTCTGATGTTAGCAGTTTTTCACTTTATGTGAAAATGTTGGTGTGGATTACACTTGTAATATGTCTTTGTGCTAACAAAACTGTAATTGCATGCCTCATGTAAAGTACACTAGTCTTTTACATTTCCATGTTACATATTGGAACTATTTATAATTACTTCTGAGAGATGATGTTATTTTCTGCCTTTCCCACAGTCTAATTTGACTTCCAGCTTCCATAAAAGCTGTGTTCTGTTGATTAAATATTTATGTGTCACCCTTCAAGAAAAAAATATGCTTCCAGAGTGGTTTATAATGCTGCAATAACTAAAATTATACTACTAATGAATCTGTGGAATTATGCACTGCTGTAATGAGCATGTGCTGGCTGGTAGCTCAGTGAGTTGAGTATCTGGCTGCACAGCTAGAGATCGGAGTTCAAATCCCCACTGTGTGTGCCGTGAGAGGATCCACCATGTGTAGCCTTGCACAAGCTGCACAGTTCTAGAGAAATCCCCCAGAAGAAGTGATTGGTAGACCACCTCTGAGTATTCTATACCTAGAAAACCCTGGAAATGGTCACCAGAAGTTGGAATTGATTTGATAGCATATAATTATTTTCATTCACGTGGAGGACTATATTCTGGGAGCCGGAGAATCCCCTTTTTATTTTGTTGGTCTGATGTTTTTTGTAATAAGTTATGTTACAGGACCACGATCTTCCCTGTTAGAAAGGAGTGGTTTGTTATGTTTTCTACCTCCAAACTACAGTGACCTCCAAAATGTTCTATTATTAACTGTCCTTTTGTCTCTTGCAAACCTATTGCTTCCTCCAGACCCTCTCATGTTTGGTCTTCCCCTTTTCCTACTGCATTCAACTTTTTCTAGCATTATTCTCTTTTCTCGTGTTCTCATAATGTGCCCAAAGTATAACAGCCTCAATTTTACCTGTAAAGAGAGCTCAGGCTTGAGATTCAGCAGGAGAGATATGGTGTAGTATACCGTAATTATAGAACAATAGTGCCACATCCTCATTTAAAAAATACCCACGATGCTATTCTTCAAACTGTTCCTTATTTCATGCTGTCTTAAGCATGAAAGTTTTATTTATACCGAGCATTTCATGTCTTTGGTATTGATGGCACTTGATCACTGAGGAAAAGGAAGGTGTGGGCTGCCTGAGGCTTTTAAATGAATGGGTCATTTGAAGGGTGCACCATTTACAGATGATTAAATTGTTGAGTAGTTAGGTGTCTAAAGTGACTTGCCTTCAGCACGTGTAATCTTGTTGAGTACATTGGTGATTTAAAGCAGGCAGGAACATTCATATGGTTTTGGTTTCTTATCCACTGTCAAAGTATTTGTAGCTTAAAATACCTATCTGTTGAATTACCTGAACAAGTTGGGTTAGCAACCCATCTGCTGCCATTTGTAATCCGAGAGGTTTGTTATTGACTCACCAGCCTTGAGCATTTGTAATTCTTCTGTATCTCAGGTCGAAATGGCAACTGTCCAGACAAGGGTTGCATCCAACAGCATTATTTAGCTTCTGCAAGAGCTGAGTTCAGTGGACGTGGAAGGTGTAACAGCCCCCCCCCCACAGTATCCACATACAAAAAACCCTGTTCTGAAAGGCTACAAAACCTGTTTGGACTTCAGGCAGCTACAGGAGGGAACAGTCCAAATCTTGATAACTTCCTTCAGTGTTATGTTAGGTTTAGACCAAAATAAACAAAACAAGAACTTTATTTCCCCTCCCCCTGGCCAATGATGGTATTCATGGTCAGGTTCGACCAAAATAAACAAAACAAGAACTTTATTTATCTCCCCTCCCCCTGGCCAATGTTGGTATTCATGGTCAGGTTCACTTGTTACTGTGTTGACCAGTTGAGCCTTCAAGATTTCTTACTGTTCACAAACTTTAGATCACACCAAAAGATATCATAGCATTTATCTAAAGGTCTTTGAGGAGGATTTTGTAGGCATGGCAAGTGCCCCAATTTAAGCTACCCTCCATCCCTGAAGGTCTGAGGAAATAGAGGGAGTAGCCTGTGGACACCCTCCCTGCTTCATTGTGCTATACATGCATAAGGTACATGGACCTTTCCAGTTAAACAGTTTAATAAAGAAGGTTATGTAAATGACAAGTTGGGCAGTACTGGCTTCATTCAGGCATCATCACCAAGCCTCTGTTTATTTTGATTAAACTACAGTATGGGTTGAGCATTGAGAAGCTGAAACTATATAATGGTCATAGGAGCTGGTTGTTTGTTTGTTTTTTCATTTTTCTCAGCTACATACTGTATAGCATACTCATTTTTAGTAGAAACTAGGAGTGGGCAAATGCAGACATTGTGGCAACAAGTGTGTTTTGCTTTTGTTGTTTCTCTGATGAATGCAACCATGACACATCAATTTAAAGGTTATGGTTCATGAGCTAAACAAAATAGAGATCTTCTAAGACAAGACCCTAGTAACATACAAAGTTCTTTCCCCCTGTGAAAATGTGTAGTTCAGAATTCAAGTGGGAATTTATGCTGGTGCCTGTTTAATTGTGTAAACTGCAGTGTTGAATTGGAACTAACGGGTTGACGCTCTTCTTTCTGGTTCTATGCCAAATCAAACAGCTGGCAGTTCACTGCTGTAGTTTACACAGGTACACTTATAAAGTACTAGTGTTAATAGGATTCTGGCCATAGAGACATTCACTTAACAGTAGCAAAGCAGGGATAGCATCTTGGCTTACTCCAGGTAAACAGGAAAAATCAGTACTGAAACACTACCTTTATTAGTCCAACCGAAAAAGGCAGTGAAATTTGTGTAAGTTTTAAAGAAATCAATCTCTTCATCAAGCAAGTTGTTAAAAATAAATGTTGGGAAAGGGAAAAGGGAAGGCAAAGAGTCTTAATTATCTCCTTGTTGCTTTAGGATGTAATGGGGAAGAGATGCTGCAGAGAAAGAAATAGGTCTTATTAGGGGATACAGTGGTGTTAGATTTTACTCTCAGTTGCCTGTAGTCTCTCTGAATGTTGAACAGTTAGAAACTTTGGGTCCATCTTAAACAAAAAGCTGTACATATAAAGCATACAAATATTATGTATCTAATTAGCATCTTGTACTTTGAGATGCACACTAATTGGATTCCACACTGTCTTTATCTAGGTTCTATAACTAGGGTTTGAGATAATGTTTCAGTCCCCCACCCCCAAAATATTATCTGCTGCTTTTCCACAGCTGAAGTTAATGGACAGTAGCTATCAAAACAAATACACTGCATTAAGAACAAGCAAGGAAGATTATGCCAAATGAACTGTAAGGTCAAATTAAAGCCATAGAGAGCCTTCTAAAAAGTCAGTAAGGAAATGGAAGGATAACATTGGCAGAGGGATCATTCCACATCCTTGAGCTACCTAAGTAGAGTCCACAGGTTTAGCCACAGTGATTTTTATTTCCTGCTAAGTAGAAGCACAAAGAATACACTACTGAAACTGGCTGTGGGGAAGCACATAGCAAAATAGTACATTCTGTTATCTTTTTGAGATGGGAATGGACTTTAAAAGTGGCAATTCATGAACAGATCTGAATGGAGGGCTTTTCAAGCAGCTAGAAGATTACAGGAATGTTGGACTCCATGAGGTTTAGATCTCTGGCTGATGAGCAAAAGGTTGGGAGTTTGATTCTCCACTTTGGCTTGATGAAGCAGCTTTTTCATTGTTTGTGATTTTTAAAAAACTTGAAGATGTACAACTCTAGTCAAGTAATTGCCATGTTATCTCTTCTAGCGTTTTATCCAGTATCTGGCTTCCAGAAACACGTTGTTTAATTTGAGCAATTTCTTGGACAAAAGTGGGTTGCAAGGTAAACTTCTTTTTTTCCCCCCAACTAAATCATAACATCGTACAAGGTGTTTTACAGCAACATCATTTCCTTAGGTTATTATTCCAAGAAGTTCCAAAATCTACACTGGGGTGATGCCTTTTAGCTTAAACCACCAAAAAAGGTACAAATATCTGTGCTAGGTTTCGGGGTTTAAAAATAAACTTTGTAAGGCATGATGTTGCAGAAAGCACTGGGCAGGGGGAGGAGCAGCTTAATGGTAGAGCATGCTGTCATGAGATGTGAAGGGAAGAAAGTTGTGGAGAGAGTAAGAGAGCTTATCAGGTGTTTGGGTTCACCCTGAAAGTCCCCTAGTTTTCCTGGGGGAAAAGAGCCCATAGATAGTGGTACACTTTGAGTCTCGATTGTGAAAAGACAGCAGCCCAATTAAAACCTAAAATTTGTTCTTACCAGTGCAAGGCCCACAACTCCTTTATAAAAATGAGTAAAGGATATTTGGCAGTGTTTACTGTCAAGGCTAAAGAGAGTTTGAGGTTATGGATCAGATAAAGCAGGTCAGTAGAATTTTAGGTATGTAAATCCATCAGTTCTCCACTGGCTTCAAACTCTGTGATTGGCATTTTGTGGAATAAGCTGCATTTGAGTGGTAAGATTGCTCTGTCTACCCATGCGAATGTAATGTAACTAACATCAGGAGAGGGCAGAGGTATTGTTTTAGTGTATGTCAGCCTAGCTAAACCAGTCCATAGAAACTGATCCTGCTGGGTTTTTTTCTACAACAGGGAGATTTGTGCCATTTCGTACTTAAGACTAGTCCAGGAACAAAAACGCCATCCTAGTTAGTTGTGATTTATTGTGAAGGAGGGGTGAGGCTTAGCAAAATTCATGTCCAAAGAGCTCAGTCAAAGTTCCTGTGGAAAGCAACTCAGTATGTGAAACAAGCCCCAGAACAAGATAAACCATACCTTCCTCAGTGTAACAGAGCCCAGAAAGGCAGGGTGAAATGCACCAAACAGATCCAGCCATGCATCATAGGGGCTCAGTTCATATTGCTTACCATAGTAAATCACAGTAGAGTAAGCCCGTTGAATCAGTGCTGAGTGGGTGTGATAACTCCTCAGTAAGATCCGTTGATTCAGAGGGGGCTAATCTGGTTGCAGCTTCAGTGTAGTAAGTGACAACTAGAGTAGGCCCATTTGAATCAGTGGAACATATTGAGGAGTTGACTCACCAAATCCCCACTGATTCAGTGGGCCTACTCAGTGTGACTTATTAAAAACAATGGAATTTCAGTCATGGATTGCAGGTAAGATACCAAAACTCGAGAGTCAAGGTCCTTTCACATGAACTTTTGTTCTCTCAGGAAATGACCTTCACAAAAGAGATGTGGTGGGACAACAGCAAAACCCTTAACACCCACATGTCAGCACTGGAAACCAATCAATTTTTCTTTGAATATAATATGTACCTCTTATAAAGTCATGCACTTTAATGCAAAATAAGGAAATTAACTGCTTTTCTATTTTCTTCTATTAGGGTATGATATGTCCACCTTTATCAGGAGGTATAGCAGATATTTGAATGAAAAAGCAGTCTCTTACAGACAAGTAGCTTTTGACTTCACTAAAGTAAAAAGAGGGTAAGGATTACATTGCCTGAAACCAATAACTTTGAAAATATAGTTTGTTCATAGCTTCTGTTCTAAATGCTAAAAATTTTAAAATACATAACATTCAACTGAAATTTATGAGCCGAAGATTGCATCCTGATTCCCATGCACCTAGTTTGCAGGAGGACTTTTTAAAATGCAGCTTACAAATACTTTTCAAATATACATCCCACTGCATTTTATTTATGCTAGATGATCACTCAGTCCTCTTTAATAAGGGTAATTGTGCATGCGTGTATGGAATATTAAGGTTCAAGTGAGCAATGATATTGCTCAGGTGACTTCAGGTTAGTTACACAGTTTCAGACTGATCCTGCCTCAGAGTTGTTGTGAAGATAAGTGGGAGAAAAGGGGAATCCATATGTGCTGCCTCAAGGTCATAATGACACTCCTGGTAGAATAAAAATGTCACTTAAAAATAAAATAAGGTTAACCTGATGTTCCCAGAAAATCTACCAGCAGGACTTGAGTGCAACTGTGCATATCTGTAGTTGATTTGTAGCAGCATATTTTCAGTGGTGTACTTCCTTTGAATATAGCCGTTGTCACCAGTAGCTATGGACACAACTATGGTATTGAGGTCTGTCACTTAAAAGAAAGGTATGCCCTTATCTTTGCAATACAGTATGGCTAAACTAGTTTTTAGATGATGGCTTGATGTACACAAGACAACTGAAAATGTCCTTTCCATTCAGCTTAAAGGCAGTCTTCTTAACTTCTGTTTTTGTATTTTGACCACAGTGTTGGTCTGAAAACAGTTCCCCATACTTGATAGGGCTAAGGGAATTGCTACTGTGGTAAAACACTGGTCAGGGTGGTGATCTGGCTGGCTGGCAGCAGTCTGCATACAAATGGAAGTAAAATAAAACAAAGCATTGAATGTTTGAATCAAGAAGACTATGCTATGTGTAGATTATGTTAAAGGTTCTTCCCATTACAATATAAACTAGCTTGAAGACCTTTGGTATAAAAGTTGCTAGCCAGCCACACCACAAATGTTTTAACAATGGGAATTTCCATACATTAAATTATTTCTGTGTGATTTGCTTTAAGACGGGATGTATATCATACAGCAATCTGTTTCTTAGTTTCTAACTTCTGTGTTCTTGAGAACAGAAAGTTGAAAGCTCTTGTATTGAAAACCAAAATTAACAATAGAATTTTCCTGGTTTTCTGTGTATTATTCTCCAAATAAGTCTAAAATGACATTTGGGTAGTGTGGGCGGCATATAAATTAATTAAATAAAATAAATAAATAAATAAACAAATAAATAAATAAATAAATAAATAAATTGTATTAAATCAATCATATCACACTTCTAAATTCTACAAAACGGTTAGGAACTTTACACAAACAAACAAACAAACAAATAAACAAATTGTATTAAATCAGTCATATCACACTTCTAAATTCTACAAAACAGTTAGGAACTTTGTAAAACATGTTAGGTTCTCCTCAAGTTAAGTTTGCAGGTGCTTTTCTTATGATTTCATTTTCCGAGAATATCATTTAACTTTCAGTTGTGGCTCTTGATTTTGTTGAAAGATAGTTGTGGGTGATCAGTTAATGTTTACATTTTGTACTTTTTAATAAGAGGCCTCTCCATTCTTCCAGAAGTCCAAATTTGATGTTCTTTGGGCACATGAATATCTGCTTAGATTTGTTAGAGTTGCTGGCTGAGCTCAAGATTGTTGCGTTCATGTTTTGTTTCATTCACCTTGTCTTTATCAAACAGAAACTTAAAACTGCAGTGATTGAGTATGATCTGTGTGCCTAATGTCCCTGCACACAGAAACATACTGAGTCAGCAGATGTTTCTGTCTGTTTCGGTATTGTCTACACTCTGAGGGGCATGATGCTGAAGTTTTCAGATGTGCTCTGTTCCAGTCCTGCCTGAAAATGCTGGGGACTAACCCTGGGGCTTTCTGCATATAAAACATGTGTCTGGCCACTGAGCTCCACCCGTTCACCTTGTTAACAGTTGCAGTAAGCCATAATTTTTTTCCACACTTCCAGCTTCCCGCGAATAGTGTAATGGGTAATTAAGTGTAGTGAAAATCCTGTATATACCTCTACCGTTATCTAGCTCTAATAGTGTGTTCTTTCCTAGTTTTGGACTGCCCATTCCTAGAATTGTTCAAGAATTCCTGGAATTGCATCCCGTAGGCCCAAATTTGCACACCTGTGGGTGTCACTCTCCTCTCCCAGAGAGGGGTCTTTTGAGATATTTACCTGTACCATTGGCTTATTGGGCCTTTGTTTCCTATTGCTGTATCGGTTTTTTTAAAAAAAGAGCTGCCATCACACTTCCTGGGAATCATAGTTTCGCCACCCATTAAGCTCTGTAGAACCTGCCTTCCAAAGAACTCCCAAGAAGCACCAGAGTAACTTTAAAAAATAATAATAATTCTGGGAATTGTAGTCCAGAAACACAAAAGAGCACACAGTCTTGTCCATCTCTCTCCAGATATTGAGACAAAGTCCTGTTGGCATAAAGTTGCACTTCACAACCTAGATAGACTATGTCATTATTTGGCAAAGGGCAGCTTTAATTTAAATTAATAGGAATCTTCCTCTCCCGTTTTTCCGGTTCCAGAGTTTCCAGCGCTCCCTTTTGCCCTTGGGAAGTCTTTGGGAGCTTTGAGGAGAGTGCCTTCAATAGTGAAAAAATCACTGTCAGATTACTGCTGACAGTACTGATTCCCATTGGCTGCGATCTGATGGTGATTTTGCTTATCAGAAGCTTCCACCCCATCCAAAAGCTTCCCCAAGGCAGAAAGGAGCCTTACAGAGCTCTGGAATCTGAAGTGGGGAGGGGGAAAAAGGAAGCTTTCAGTTTGTTTAAATTAAATGTTACTATCTAGATTATGACATCATCTGACTTGCTTGGTGTAACTTTATGCAAGAGGATTTTGCCCATTGTATTTAACGTAACTAATTTAAGGAGGAGGTCTGAGCATGAGGCTCTTATGGGTCTCTAGTGGTCTGATAAGTTGATAATGGAAAGGAGGGTAAAAGCAGGACGTGCTTGATTAATTTGTGTGGAAATCATCTCTGTTCAGGCTCTGTGTCCGTTGTACTAGCAGCTGTTATTAAATATGTTTGGTCTGCTAAATATTTTTAAAATCTTATTTCTCTTAGGGCTGATGGAGTCATGAGGACAATGAATACAGAGAAACTTTTAAAAACTGTACCCATCATACAAAATCAAATGGATGCACTTCTTGATTTCAATGTAAGTTTTATCTGTATGGGTTGAGGGTATAGGCAAATTTTTAATTGAGTCAGGACAGTGGTTTGGATTCAGTTGAGACATCTTATTAAGCCATGATTTCAGGAACCATTGCTTAGAACCCCTGCCAGTGGTTTGAGCTTCCAAGTTAACATGGAAACCATGAATTAGAGCTGCTTAGGTTTCCTTAAGTGTGCTTTCACATGATGTCTTGAATCTTGACAAAGTGGGAAAGAAATCTTCCCCAGGATGACATTGACTCTTCAGATGTTCAGCATAACTTAGATAGGTGGAGGAGAGGTTTGCCTCTCCTCTCCAACTGCCAGCTGAACTGAGAGCTCCCATCAGCAGGGTATGGTGGAGTATCGTCCTTTGGAAGTAGAGTTGTGGAACACTAGAAATGAGCTAGTTTATTCTCTGTGTGGATTACACTCTTTCCTATAAACATCCTGTGTTCTCTTCATGGCCTGTTTAAAAAATGCTGCAGCTCAGTGAGAAAAGTATCTAACAGAGCTGCTAATTACATAAAGGAAGTTTATAAAACCTACCCAGGAGTTGTATGTTCAAGCACTCTAGTAGTCTTTGCGTGTCTTTCTTGGCATTTTGTATGAGTGTATGGGGGGTTGTTTTTAGGTATGTGTCATTGGCCAAAGAATTGTTTTTCCTTTTTTCTTGACAGGCTTTAGTGTCACAGACATGTAGTACACAGTGTCAGATAGCCAGAAAGCTCTTTATACTGAGTCCCATCACAGAAGATAGCTGTGGAATTCTTCTTGTTCATTTAACGTCCTTTCTTGTTCTTGGCAGGTCAATAGCAATGAACTTACAAATGGCGTAATTAATGCTGCCTTCATGCTTCTCTTCAAAGATGCCATTAGACTCTTTGCAGCATATAATGAAGGAATTATTAACCTATTGGGTAAATACTTCCTTTTTCACATCTCTTCCTTGTATTTAGTAAGCATGGCACTGAACTTCATTTCAAAACACATTTTATACTGCCTTTTAAAACAGCTGCTTCTCTTTACACATAAACAAAAATAGACATAAATACGAACTTTTCTAAAATATTTTTGGTATGAACAGTGGCTTCTTTGAACTATAATTTTCTCTGTCCAGTTACCACGCAACCAACTGCAAAGCTGACAATTTTGTTTTTATATTCTCTTTTAGAAAGGTGACAATTTTGTGAGGAGACATAACATAACTTTTAGCTTTAACTTTAACTGTCTTCACGATTGTGGTCATAAATCTAAGTTTGTGGGATTTTCTCCATTTGGTTCTGGATAGCTGCCAAACCTCTGGAATAGGACACTGTAGCCAGACATTCCTGTTTGTTGAATATGGCCCAACCCAGATATGTTGAATTGAATCCAGATTTCAAGAAGACAAAGTGAGTCTGGTTCAGGAATCTAAGAGAGTTAAGTTTTATGTGACTGAGATCTAATGGATGTCAGTCTACCTACATTAGGAAAGCTAATTTTAATAAACTCAGAATAGTGATAGATAAGGTCTCACGCAAGAGATTCTAACAGGAAAAGGAGTCCAAGATGGGTGGGAGTTTCTTAAGAAGGAAATTCTAAAGGCACAATTGTAAACAGTTCCAAAAAAAAATAAAAAAAGTGGAAGAAAGCAAAAAAGACCAATATGGCATCACAAAAAGCTCAGTGAGGACCTGAAAATAAAACAAAAATAAATAAATAAACAAAAAGGCACACACATATATATATATATAGGAAGTGGAAGGAAGATGAGGCCACAAAAAAATAGTACAGACAAGTAGCAAAGAATTGCTGGAAGCCTTGAGAAAAGAAGACTTAGGGGAGAATTGCAGGCATCCTTAGTCTCTCTTAACTACTTCAGCATGTGTTATTGTTATATACTTAAATGGAAAGAAACCTCTTGTGATTACTGCCATTTTTCCAATTGTCTTGCTTAGAAAAATACTTCGATATGAAAAAGAATCAATGTAAAGAAGGCCTTGACATATACAAGAAGTTTCTCACCAGAATGACAAGGATTTCTGAGTTTCTCAAAGTTGCGGAGGTAAAACACAGTGGTCTTACTGAAAAATTTGCTACTACCTTTATTGACTGTTAATGAGACTTTTATGAGTAATAAACATTAAAATAGTGATTAAACTTATTAAACTAGAATGTGTCTTCTAAAGTATGCTACTTTACAATACACATTCTAGTTTAATTTGTTACTTTACAATACTTTACAGGCCCATTCATATGGGGAAAACGAAGTATTGGTGTAGACGCAGGTTGTTGCAATGCTTCCCCGAAGGCAGCTGCTTGCCAGCAGCTGTGACACAAATTGCAGAAGAGATTGTATTATCGTGAAACATGTTTACATTACTTCCCCATGACACATTATTCCGAAGAGAATGGAGAAGACAAATGGAACATTAAAATATAGCACAAAAATAGTGGCAAGTATTAAAACACTCAAAATGCAAATTTAAAAGACGGGCCCCGGCCAACCCCAACCTGCAGTAATTTAAAAGACCTGGATGAATTAAGCAGTCTTTACCTGATACTGAAAAGATAATGGATGTGGCTAAAGATCCATAGAAAGGCTCTTCCATTATTGGGATACGCACCTGAAAAGGCTCTCTTCCTAGCGGCCGTCTGTTCACGTCACGGGATAAGTGCAGTTCCAAGTGGCATCTCCTAACAGGTTCTTAACGATTGGAGAGGTACATATGGGAGAAAGTGTCTCCATTTTGTACAGACTGCATTTGAGCTTGTTGACTTTTATGCAGTTTATTAGGGTGCCTAGGCACTGATTAAGTTCAGTTGTCGCCTTGCCTGCAGCACAAAAGAAGAGAAATCCAAGTGCCACTCACATGTTGGTTGACACTACAAGCCACATCTCTTGAGTGTTGCATGTTGCTGTTAAAGGCACGGAACTGTGTCACTCTGCCAGGATTGCCAGTCCAAAATACAGCCCTGCTTTCAGGGTCTGGCTCTTGAAATACTGTAAACCATCTTATTAATCACAGCCCATTTTTAGTTAATCTTGTGACAATTGATTATATTTATTCCTCAAAAGGTTTTCTTATCTACAGGTTATTTTTATGAATTGTGCCGAGAAGGGGAGGGGAAAGACTGCAGATTTGGAGAAATCCCTACCTGTTTTGACACTGCCATTGAAGAAACTGACCTGACTGGCTGTACCTTGTCACTGGTTGTCGTGGGCAATACAAATGTATTGTTCACTTCAACCCTTAAAATAATAACTTATACTTTAATCTGTAATTACTTTCCTTATCATACATCTGTACATAGCCTGAATTCTATGAATCATCTGGTTCTACAGTCTTATTTTTCATGTTATCTTCAATGTGCTTTCTTCATCATGTCTTTAGTCAAACATGTTTAAGGCCTATATCTTATTAAATCTATTTGTTATTACAGCAAGTGGGGATAGACAGAGGAGACATACCAGATCTTTCTCAGGTAGATGGTTTTATGCATTGTCATGCTTGTTTATTTCGAGCTTTTATAATCTGAAGACTTTGATATAAATCACTCATACTTTAATTCATTGTCACCATGTTATTGGGTGGAGGGTTTCTAAATATAAAATAGTCTTGAATCTGCTATTATTGTCCTTGATTTCAGTGCAAACAGTTCTCACTTACTCTGATTCATAGCTGGGGATCCTTGTTAAGAATTATCCCTGTATAGCAATACAGCAGATTTCCATATTTAAATTAATGTAAATTCTGTGAGAGAGGTTCGTATGTCTGTAAGCATTCACATCCTTTTGATTTTTAAGTATACTAATAGATCTCCGTAGATGGCTATAAAATACCAGGCCACAGTGGCAAAGAATAGTGCATTAACATGTTTATATGGTTTAAAGTGGTAGCTGTTGTCAAGTCATGCATAACATGGAATGTAGTAATTATTCATTCACAAATGTGCCGTTTTACCTTGTGCCTTTCTCTTGGAGGATGGCTTTTAAAATGAGCAGTCTTGTCTGTTGAAACAGTAGAGATACTTGTACCATATCCATTCAGTATTAATACATTTGAGTGTTGTGTTATTAAGAACTGCTGACTGTATTTAAGCATTTATCACTGGATTCAGAAGTCCTTGTGTTGGTGAAATGGGCGGACAAAAGATGTTACACTATTTGTTCTGAATTTCTGAAGGGCTACTCATGTTTTGTAGGCACCAAGCAGCCTTCTTGATGCATTGGAGCAGCACTTGGCCTCCCTGGAAGGAAAGAAAATCAAAGACTCCACTGCTGCAAGCAGGCACGTGTTGAATCCTGTGTTTGTAATTGGCCCTGCTGACTTTGTTTCCTTTATCTCAGTTAGGGAGTTCAGATAATAATAATACTGAGTTTGATTACTTTCCTTGACTGCACTGCTTTGGACATCTGGTAGAACACTGACATTTAGACACTTCCTTTCGGGTCAGCATTCCCTGTACATAATAAAGCTTGGTGGTAGGTACACATTTGGACAAGAAATAAACTGCTTTTGCAAAGCCCTGGTTGAAAGAGGGACTTTCTTCTTCCTACTCTAGCCTTTCCTTGCAGGTTACTGAAAAATTATAGGCATCTTGGGTTTTGGTGAAGGGAGATACGAGGCAGTTTTTGATTGGATTCGTAGAAGTCCTCACACTTTGCCTGTTTCTGTAAAGTGTCATGCTTTACACACAGATAATTCTGATTTTTGTCTGCACTAAGATTTGTGATTCTAAAATGACTGGTGCAGCTGTGCTGACTGTACTGCTGTCTTCTTGTTTACTTATCAAGTATCCAGCCCTTGGTTGTTGTGGGTTTTTCGGGCTCTTTGGCCGTGTTCTGAAGGTTGTTCTTCCTAATGTTTCACCAGTCTCTGTGGCTGGCATCTTCAGAGAAGTGCACAGAGTGCTGAAAAACCCACAACAACCATTAGATCCTGGCCGTGAAAGCCTTCGTGAATACATATCCAGCCCTTGCCTATGCTCCTGTGGCCATTGTTCCAAGCTCCTGGCTCTTTCTTTTTCCATTCCAGTGTAAACACAAGCCACTGGCTTATCCATGTAAACCAAACCTAGAGCAGTGCTGAAGACTGTGATAGTCTCCAGTTCTGACTTTCTCAACCTAATGAGCCAGAAATAGAAGATGTTGATATATTTATCTTGAAAGAATTTCTAGACTTTGAGTCCAAACTTCAAGACTCTACTTCCAAACTAAATAGTATTCAACAAGAAGAGTAAGGAAAGCATATGATGTTGTCTAGGCTAGACTAGTGTCTAAGATTTGGATCCAGACTTTGTCATATGCAGGAATAACCCACTGAAATTGAAGGAGGTTGTGTTGGTCATTATTACATTGTCTCTAAATGTGAGTAAATTGAGATCCCACCTTAACAGAATTATTCTCCATAATCGCCCTGCAGTGAGAGGACTGTTGCTCCTTTGGGAAGGTCATGCCAAAGGGGCATGATTTCGTTGTGGTGTGGAGGATCTTGAACTTAAACATAGGTGGCCAGAAACATGTGCAGCATTGTTGGATTCTTACCGTTTCCAGCTAGTGTCCAAACAGACAAATGGTAATAGAAAACAATTATCAGTTTTGGGTCGGAGCATTTATTCTGCAATAATTACTTCTCCTCCTTACCCCTCAATAGCTTTAAACAAAAGATCCCCTCTAATGTTAACCAGTTTTTAGGTACTCGGCAAGGTAGTGAAAATTTCTTCAAAGGTGTATGAAGCTCTGTGTTTTGTTTATGCCCAACAGTCCATGGAAGAAGTGTATCTTATGTGGTTGTTGTGGGCTTTCCAGGCTCTTTGGCTGTGTTCTGAAGGTTGTTCTTCCTAACGTTTCGCCAGTCTCTGTGGCCGGCATCTTCAGAGGACAGCACTCTGTGCTCTGGTGCAGTTTGTTTGGTAGTTGAATATTTATGGCTTTGAGGTCAGCTTTTGTCCTTTTCAGGAGATGGGCGATTATGATGATCGGTGTGTTTTTGAGGTGGGTGTATTGTTGTGATATTGCTGTGTTTAAAGCTTTGAATAAAAAGCAAAGCAGTGCCGAGCATCTTCTTCTTGCATGTCATCTAACTAATGGCCAGGTTTCGTCCTGTCACCTTTTCCTAGGGCTACTACTCTTTCCAACGCAGTCTCCTCCCTGGCAAGCACTGGCCTGTCACTCACCAAAGTAGATGAAAGAGAAAAGCAAGCAGCACTAGAGGAAGAGCAAGCCCGTTTAAAAGCTTTAAAGGTGGGCACAATTTATTTTCTTCTTTCAGATTGCATTCTGTGTCTATGTTTTGCTCTTTGGGGTATTTAAGATGGGCTGGGCATAAAAGAGAACAGATTCATCTTAATAGGGCTGTTCCCCTTCATTTACACACTTTGTTGCAAATCATTTGGGAAGACGAAAGTCTCTCACCACCCAGGAGTTGGGGTATATATAAAATTAGGGGAAAATATCATTTTTAGTTTTGAGGCTTGTAGTCTTGAGGTTTTTGTGTGTGTGTGCTTTAGAAACTGAAAGATACGCTAACAGGACCTAGTGAAGTAATGCAAGAATTGTAGCAATACATATTCATTTGTAATTTGTTGCATCCTTTTGAAGCGACATAATAATAGAACTTTTACTGAGAGGGAAGAGAAGGGTTCCCTGGGCCATGAATGACCGACTTTGGTTTTTCATTTTTGTTTCTATGATTTGGCCAGAGGGAAAAATTTCACAGATCAGAGCCACTCGCAAAACGGTTGTCGGCCAAAGGAGGCATTTTAATGTTAAAATTAAGAAGGTGGTGCTAAGTAAGGATGAATGTACAGACATGTGGGTAGAGTTCATTGATTTTGTACCAATGAAAAGGAAGGGAAATGTCCTTTCACAAGAGTCATTACAATTTTGGAAGAGGAATGGGGCTCCATGCACCTCTCAATTGATCCCAGTGGGCAGTTGTTCAGTAGATTTTTGTTAATTGCTTATCAGATGTTAATGTTTTTGTTAAAAATTAAAATTAAAATACTGTAGATATTGAGCTAAATGAAGAAATACATTGCTCCCTACTGTAAGTTCCTGTGTTCTTTTTCTTTTGCATGTATCAGTTTTTCTTGACAATTGCCAAGTGCAAATATTTGGTAAGGTTCAGTTGCATTTCTTATCACTGAAAAATCATATTGAAACTTGCTTGAAGGCTTTGTCTACTTAACCTTAGTAACCATGTAAAATACTTTGTTCCTTGCTTTCTTGTATTCCAATAGGAACAGCGTCTAAAAGAACTTGCAAAAAAACCTCAGTCCTCTTTAACAACCGCCTCCTCCCCTGTGTCTAATGCAGCAGGAAGTATAATGACTACACCAGCCATTGACATTTTCTCCACACCTAGTTCTTCAAACAGGTAGTCATTGTTAGTTATGTATAATTTAGCATTTATTTTCAAGGTGTATGACCACTTGATCCCAAGTTCTTGTAAGTGGTTAAAAAAGTGAAATACAATATGAGAATAAACTCTGAAAAAATAATAAAAATACAGCAGATTAAAATTGAGAGCAGAGAATAATATCAGTGCATAAAATGCAAAAAAAGTAGTAAAATTATTTTAAAATAGAAAAGCCTAGAAGAGTAAGGAGATACTTGCTACTGAAAAGACTTCAGTGTAGATGCTATGTAAACCACTTTGGAGGATGTTCCTTAACAAGGGTCCCAGTGCTTAAAAGGCCCTGTCTCTTTTAGCTACTGGACCTTATTTATCAAGATGCCTGGAGAAGAGACAGTTTAGAGGATGTTAGAGTGGGAAGAAACAATGCTTCAGCTAACTTGGTTCGAAACCCCTTAAGACTTGAGGGGTTAATACCAACACTTTGATGTGGTCCTGCAAACAGAGATGGCTATGCCTTTCAGTATTGCTGCTGGTTGGAAAATATTACTTCTAGCCAACTGTGTGTTGTGAATTTGAGACTGTACTATAAAATGGTTTTTTAAAATAATTATTTAGTTTAGTAATTGGGTTAGCTGTGCTTTGTATACCATATAACTGCTCAGAATACTTGAGTTAGCAGGAATGATTCTTATCACCTCCAAATCTGTAGGATTTTTTTTCAGTACAGTGGTGCCTCACTTGACGATGTTAGTTCGTTCCAGCGAAATCGCTGTAGAGCGAAAACATCGTCAAATGAAAATTTAAAAACACGTTGAAAATGGTTCACTGCGTTCCAGTGGGCTGAATACCTGCTCGTCTAGCGAAGATCCTCCATACGGTGGCCATTTTCGGTGCCTGTAAAGCGAGGAATCTGTCCTAGAAAACAGTGGGTGGCTGTTTTCTTCAGCCCGTGGCCATTGTGAAACCCGACGATCAGCTGTTTGCTGATCGTTGTAAAGCGAAAATCGGTTCCAGAAGCAGGGAACCGATCATCGTTAAATGAAAAAACCCCATTTAAACCATTGTTTTGTGATCACAAAAGCAATCGCAAAAACTTAATCATACAGCGATTTCCTCATTAAGCGAGGCAATCGTTAAGCGAGGCACCACTGTATATGAGAACCCTTTCTACTTCTGTCATTCTGTTCTGCCTCGCAGGGTTGTGGGGATGGGAAATAGAATGATTGGTTTAGGTTTATCCAATGAGTGTCATGACTCACTTTGAGTTAAACTAATTCAATTTGCGAGTCATTCTGTCATTTAATACCATCTCTGGTACATTTCTGGATACGGCTTAAAATGTATATCAAACTAAAACAAGACATAAAAATATAGGTGCATCTGTTTAAAATGTAGGCATGATGTCCTTCCACATATGTCTTTGGGTTTGCCTAAAGTGCTCCTTCAGGTCCCTCCTTGAATTTGCAGAAAGCTGTATTTTGTACTCAGTGCCTCTGTCTCTGTGATCAATTTGTGGTGACTATTTTGAATGAGATAAATGAATTGAAAGTGTGTCAATATTACTTGGATCTCTGATAATTGCTTTCATCTCTTTTTATAGTACATCAAAGCTGCCAAATGATCTTCTTGATTTGCAGCCACCCTTTAATTCATCTTTGCATCCTATGTCCTCTGCACCACAAGTAGGAAGCACCTGGGGAGGTAAGAAACTCAAATCCCCTTTTCTGAGTTCTGCTCCTCCGCTTTGTAAGGTTTCATTCTGAGCTCTGCTTCCTTGCTATTTTACTTGATGAAACTTTTCTAAATGCCAGAGCCAGATAATTATTCAAACTAGAGAATGGAGGATCGGAAGTAAGTCATCATCTTTTCTGTAGCTTCATAGTCACTTACCCTTTTAGCACCAGTCATAGTGGTATTTTTACGATACTAATGTTATTTTCTTGTGAGGCTTCAATTACCATTATATGGCCAAAAATTATTGTAAAGAAAGAAAAGTTGTGTCCGGACTATCAAATTAAAATTTGCTTCTTTCATCTAAATCAATGGTTCCCAAACTTAATTAATCCAGATGTTCTTCGCCTGCAACACCCAGAAACCCCAGCCAATACAAGCTAGTGGTGAAGACTTCTGGGAGTTGCAGTTCAAGAACACTTGGGTTACTCAGGGTTGGAAATCACTGCCCTAAATAGTAACAAGAAAATATGGAAGAGGATTTCAGCATTTTTTTTCACTAAATAGAAAACAGAAAAATAATAATTGTTAAAGGAGAGAGAATGAAGACCACACCTTTTTTCTAGTTCAGAACACAATCTGGTTCAGAACACACTGTGAAGTCTCATGTGAACCAGGTTAGAAATGTAGTTCAGACTGCTTTAGAATATAATGGTCTCTCATACATCAAGGCTTTTAAACAAAGGCTGACTGGCTACCTATCAGACGTACTAGAGCACTAGATTTCTTGCCCTGGCTAGAGTTTGAACTAAATGTTTTTCAAGTTATCAATGAGTTCTAGTTCAGTGATTTCAGAAGAGTTGATACGGAGGAAGGAAGTAAATCTTACTAAATAGAGACTTCATTTTTAAAAGTGTGATGCAATTTCAGCATGGGAGCTGGGACCATATGTTGTGTTTGTCCTCCTGACCCCTCCCTTCCTGCAATGGATGTGGCTCCATGTTGCCACAAAATCTGCAATATACCCTTAGAAAGAAAAATACAAAACTTCTTAAATGTGAACTTGCTCTTTGCCATTCTTCAAAACTTCTTTTTAAAACCACTACTAATATTAATACTGATACTGTACATTTCATAGTTTCAATGTTTTTCCCCATCTTTGTCTGCCACCTTGATATGCAGCCTAGAAGAAATTTATCGGAAAGTGTTGCAAAGATGACATGATCTAAAGGATAAGGAGGCAGTCTTAATAGCAGTTTCTGCATACGTGTTCATTCTTTGTTTAGAATGAAGTAAGATGGTTTCCTCTTGCTCTCTCCAGCAGCTTAGGCTTTGGAGGCAATGGCTTCAGAAGAATAGTAGTAAGTGTTTCTGGCAGTTTTTCTGCAGTATGCAGAGACAAGAAATCCTACCATTAGTATCTAATGACCAACACTTCCTAGCAAGTGAACAGATAAATCTATTTCTAACTACTATTGCTGTCAGTGTAGTGAGACAACCTTAGCTTTAATTTCCACCCATGTTAATGAAGAAGCAAACTGAGAGATAACTGCATTTGTAATTCATCACGTCCTTTGATTCAGGTGGTCTTAAAATTTTTAGGCGGTATCTTTTCACAGTCCCAAATGAACGGATCTGGTCAACACTGATCTATTGCTTTTGCCCACTGGTGAAAGTCAAGGAGCATAAATCCTTGTTGGAAATTGCTGCTACTCTAAGAAGTTGAGTCTTTTGTTTTCTAGTGCACACAACTTGCCATGTGGCAAGAAATATAAGCTCTGGCGTATTAATGTGCAGCAGTTTGCCACAAAGATTTGCACTGATGGACATAAGTAATAGAATTTCTGGCCATTTATTCGCAAGAATCAGTTAACTGTTGCTGTATCCCAAATATGAAAGAACTAATACATAAAGGCAGTGATTTCCCCACTCCAAATAAGAGTTGTAGTAGCAGTTAGCAGTCATTGCACGGTCATATGTTTTCAGCAGTATCTTCAAAAACCTAAAAATAAAAAATCAGTAGGTGATTTTATAGCCTTGATGGTGTTGAAGGAATCTGCTTACTAAAAAAAAAAAAAAAAAAAAAAGCAGTGCCTAATTAACTACATCATTGTCCTATCATTTTGTAATCAGTGTGTTGCCTTAATTTTGCATGGTGTTAATACTGTCGATATAAAATGCAACTCAGTGTGAATATTTGCTATTCTGCTGTATTCTTTCCTGGCCAATCCCAGGATATCTATCCAGTATATTTTCCTCCAGATCTTTCTCCCACTTGTAATGAAAAAAAATATACAATGAGTATTCTATATACTTTGTTGACAAACATATTTCTTGAGGAACAAATTGTAATATATTTTTTCAACAGTGTGTTCATAGCATCTCTGAAAGAGCACCTAGCCTTGTAGGAGTCCAGTTTCTCATTTATCTGGTTAAAGGACAGAGATTAAAATTTAGCTCTATAGAGATAAAAACGTTTCTCCTTTTTATCCATACTTCATAAATTGTTCTCACACAAGGATTATTAAAGACCCATGTCATGATTTTCTATAGTGGATCCATCTTTTCATAAATTCACTCATTCAGTATCACTAGCTGTTGTCATTAACAATTCTGCAAGCCTGTTATGCAGTAACAGGTAGGACTGGGATTTTTGGGATTTGTGGGCTACTTCTCTCAGCAGTCTGCAGGAATTCCTCAGCCAAACAGTTGGGGGGCTTTAATCAAGAAATCAAAGTCCTGAGAGGCGTCTTCATGTCTTTCAGCTAGACTCTGGCAGCCATTTTTTTTCCTATGCAGAAAACAGAAATGGATGGGCAGGGCTAAACTCTGGGATTTGCAAGAGATTATGCATGCTCAGATATACAGATGATACCACTCTGATGGCAGAAAGTGAGGAGGACTTAAAGAACCTCTTAATGAGGGTGAAAGAGGAGAGCACAAAAAATGGTCTAACTTAACATCCAAAAAAAAAAAACATACTAAGATCATGGCCATTGGTCCCATCACCTCCTGGCAAATAGCAGAAGATATAGAGGCAGTAACAGATTTTACTTTCTTGGGCTCCATGATCACCGCAGATGGTGACAGCAGCCATGAAATTAAAAGACACCTGCTTCTTGGGAGGAAAGCAATGACAAACCTAGATAGCAACTTAAAAAGCAGAGACATCACCTTGCCGACAAAGGGTCCGCTTAGTCAAAGCTATGATTTTTTCCAGTAGCGATGTACTGTATGGAAGTGAGAGCTGGACCATAAAGAAGGCTGACCGCCGAAGAATTGATGCTTTTAAATTGTGGTGCTGGAGGAGACTCTTGAGAGTCCCCTGGACTGCAAGGAGAACAAACCTATCCATTTTGAAAGAAATCAACCCTGAGTGCTTGCTGAAGGACACATCCTGAAGCTGAGGCTCCAATACTTGGACCATCTGATGAGAAGAGAAAACTCCCTGGAAAAGACCCTGATGTTGGGAAAGTGTGAGGCAAGACAAGGGGATGACAGAGGACGAGATGGCTGGACAGAGTCATCGAAGCAACCAACGTGAATCTGACCCAACTCCGGGAGGCAGTGGAAGACAGGAGGGCCTGGCGTGCTCTGGTCCATGGGGTCACGAAGAGTCGGACACTACTTAAGAACTAAACAACAACAACAGGTGCGGTAGTCTGTTTATTAAACTCTGCACTAGAAGCCTCGGGCCACCACTTCCTCTCTTGACCCTTGCCCAGCCTGGCTAATCAAAGCACCCAGGCCTATAACAACGGAATGGGCCACAGCGATAATTAATGGGTATCTCCAGGAGGGCAAAGTTCTTTTTGCCCTCAAGGAGACACCCATTAGGAATAAACCAAATTTGGCAGCGGACGAAATTGGCAATTATAGGCCCGTCGCCAATGTTTCCTTCCTTAGCAAAGTGGTAGAGAGGGTGGTGGCTGATCAGCTTCAGGCACTTTTGGATGAAACTAACGCTCTGGATTCATATCAGTCGGGATTCAGGCCGCACCACAGTACAGAAACGGCACTAGTCGCACTGTTAGATGACCTGTTGAGGGAGGCTGACAGGGGCAATATGTCCTTATTGGTCCTCCTCAATATCTCAGCTGCCTTTGATACCATCGGTTGAGGGGCCTAACGCCGAGAGCAGCCCGGAAAGAAAGAACAAGAAACCGGGCCTTCTCAGCAGTGGCCCCTTGACTATGGAACAGACTTCCATCAGAGATCCGCCTGGCTCCCTCGCTGGTTGTTTTTAAAGCCACTTAAAAACTTGGCTCTTCAGGCAGGACTTCCCTCCTGTCAATTCTTGAATTCTATTTTTCTGTTCTTTCATTCACCATCTTGATCATACTATAAATTTTTATGATTATGATTGTCTTTGACTATGACTGTAATATTTTTATTGTCATTTAATGATATTTTATCATTTTGTAAGCTGCCCCGAGTAGACGCTGTCTAGGGGGGGTGGGGCATAAATCAAACAAACAAACACACAAACAAACAAATAAATAGATAGATAAATAGATAAATAGATAGATAAATAAAGCATGGGGATAAAAAACCGGCCAGATCCATAATCCTTGTAGTTCCACCCACCCATTTCACCTGTCTTATCTATAGGACAAAAATGACTCCTGGAGTCTGAATTAGTTATCTTAAGAGTTTTAGAAAACCTGTCAAGATTTTGATTTCTTGATTAAAGCCCCCACCTCCCCAGGTCTGGCTGGAGGAGTTCCTGCAGGCTTTGGAGCATTTTAATCCATGAATTCTGAAAATTCCATGCCTAGTAACAGGTGGATTAACCCCATTGTTCTTCATGCAGAATCATGTAATTGGCAGAAGATATCACAGGCTGGAAAGGTTGGTTCTTAAGAAAAGAATCTTAGCAAACTTTTTTTATGCGTATGTCCGCTTAAAACAACATTAGTGATAAAATATTAAGAAATACAGTACTTCAGTAGCAAGAAAGTTGAAATGGAGGAGGGTTTGGTGAAAAGCTAAGTGATCAAATTTGTATTTCTGTGTCTCAAGATTTTGATTTCTTGATTAAAGCCCCCACCTCCCCAGGTCTGGCTGGAGGAGTTCCTGCAGGCTTTGGAGCATTTTAATCCATGAATTCTGAAAATTCCATGCCTAGTAACAGGTGGATTAACCCCATTGTTCTTCATGCAGAATCATGTAATTGGCAGAAGATATCACAGGCTGGAAAAGTTGGTTCTTAAAAAAAGAACTCAGAACCTTAGCAAACTTTTTTCATGCGTATGTCCACTTAAAGCAACATTAGTGATAAAATATTAAGAAATACAGTACTGCAGTAGCAAGAAAGTTGAAATGGAGGAGGGTTTGGTGAAAAGCTAAGTGATCAAATTTGTATTTCTGTGTCTCACCAATGACTTCTAGAGTCTTTCACATGCACATCCCTTTGCATGAAAGGTACAAGCTCCAAATGTAGTGTTATTACTGCACTGCTTATGTAAGATAATGATGGATTCACTGGAGGGCCTGGCAGCAACTTAGCGATATTATCTGCCCCCCCCCCCTCTGTAGCTCTCTAGATGTTAAAATGCAGCTAGCAGGACCATTGAATTTTTT